AAACGGATCCTGCACAGGAATATGAATAGGATCCTGTATATATCCTTCAGGCCTGTCCTCCCTTGTATTGTTCGGCTGCGGATTGGTAACCCTTGGTCCCAGTGGAACATTGTTGGGAAAAGTCAAAGGAGATTTTCCCCTATCCATTCGGTTGGGATTTGTGGCACTTGGGAATGTACTATCCACGAATGATGGCCCTGCAAAATTTGCCTGTGGTCTGGACGGTGACACTCCTGGTGGCGTTTGAGTGGTTTGAAGACTAACCCTTGACAGTGCTTGATCTATCATGTTCTGCATCAGACTCTGTTGCTCACGCAACATGTTCGTTTGTTGCTCCCGCAACATATTCTGCATAACCAAAGTATGCTGGTTGTTCATTTGTTGAACATAAGACCACCAATCAGTTGGTGGTTGTGGGATTTCCCCGGCATTAGGCACAATAGGTGGTGGAACGGATTCTCCTACCGGTGCCGAAGATGATTGAGGTTGTGAACCTGCCATATGGACCCTTCCGATGATACGGCCGGATCTAAGACGTATGAAATTATCGCCGGAATTGGAATGAGCAATTTTGTCTTGCTCCCACTGTGGTCGCCAATTTGTTGATGTAATTTTTCAACAAAAATAAAGTAAAATTCAAAGATATAGAAAATATCTTTAAACTTGATTAATTAGTGCCTGAGATTAGAAATCTCTAAACACTGTATGGTACAGACAATAAACTGGAAAATAAAAGACTGAAATTTAAAGTGGTGATCCCCAAATCTGACTTTGCTTTGTTGAAGTTGATTGAAGATGCCCTGCCAAATGATGATCCAAATCTTTAAATATTCTCTGGGAAACCGTACTGAAAAAACCGTCACCCGAACGGTTACAACGTCTCCTTCCCAACCGTCGTCCAATCCTCCTCCTGCTGACACGTGTCCTCAGCAGACCAAAATTATCCCTATATTCCACTCTTTGAACTGGCCACAGACCTTCCGCCCTTTAGGCCCGACTGCCAAACTACAATAGTATGGGTCCGACTGCCAATCCTCCCGACTTGCACACCATCTGACTTGATTGGATTAGCTACAGACATCCCGACTAACAAACCACCCTATTTGCGGACTTCCCGTCCTGAGGGCCTCCCGACCTGCGGACTTCCCATCCTGATGACTTTATGTCTTGAAGACCTCCCGACCTGAAAACCTTCCGACTTGAGGTCTTTCCGTCCTGAGGACCTACCGACTTGAGGTCCTTCCGTCCTGATGACTTTCCATCTTGAGAACCTCCCGACCTGAAAACCTTCCGACCTGAGGTCTTTCCGTCTTGAGGACCTCCCGACCTGAAGACCTTCCGACCTGAGGTCTTTCCGTCTTGAGGACCTACCGACCTGAGGTCCTTCCGTCCTGATGACTTTCCGTCTTGAGGACCTCCCGACCTGAAGACTTTCCGACCTGAGGTCTTTCCGTCTTGAGGACTTACCGTCCTGAAGACCTTCCGTCTTGAGGACCTACCGACCTGAGGTCCTTCCGTCCTGAGGACTTTCCTTAGAAATAAACTTATTTTTCCTTGATTTCCTTACGGTGTCCTTCAGCCAGTTCAATCAACTCTATTGCCAGGCCCATTCTTCTTTTTACCTTGGGCTTTTAACCTAATTCTAAATTTCGTACGTAACAATACTATTTTCTCCGGCTCTCAGGGTCTCATTTACTTTTTGTGTGGTGATATTTGAATATTAATTATTATATGAAAACGTAGTACAAATCAATGAAAAATTACAAAAATACTTTTATTAGTGTCTTATAACACTATTACAATGACATGTGCAAAAAATTATACAAATATAAAGATATTTTTAATATTAAATACAATGAAGTAAACGTAAATAAGACCCTTAGAGTCGGACGGAAGGAGTACAAATAAATAAAAAATATATTTATTTATTTTATTTATAATTAACTTAAAACTAATTCTACAAAAAAATAAGAAGTTTTAAATATAGATTAAAGTATTTATTTATTGAAGAGAGAGATAGAAATAAAAGACTTTTGAGCAAATCCTATGCGTAAGAAATTAAAAATTTAATTAAATTGATTTATATTCGTTAAATATATTTAATATGAATAAATTTACTAAATTGATATCTTTGATGAGATAAACAAAAAAGAAAAAAAGAAACGAATGGAGTAATACAAATCAAAATAATTATATTTAAAGACATAATTTATATTTAAGCACTAGATCTCCCTAATATATGCATTTATTCATACAATGTATAATATATTCTATTTATCTATAAAAAATAACAATTAAAAAAAAAATTTATATTAATTGTATATTTTTCACATCTAATGTAAAAATACTTCAAATTAAAAAACTATAGTCATTTGTTCCATAAGGAGGAGGATTGAACTTGTGACCGTGAAATCATGAGTTCAAACTTCATCAACGTCATTAAAAATATATAGATATATATAGTCATTTAATAGATATTATATAAAATTGTAGTTATTATAAATTTATTTCAATAAAAATATTATACTAATATAAAACTCATCCAAATGGCATCTCACAATTCTCATTAATACATCCCGATTAAAATCCAAAACCTACCAAGATTGTAAAAATCATTAAAAAAAAAAAAAAAAAAAAAAGAAAAGAAAAGCATCCAAACACAAATCCTATTTAGTTACTGTTACATAAATATTTGGTCAATTTGTTGAAAACCAACAATCAAAGCAGTCAGCCACTCCCTACAAAAATTAAGTTGGCTTCTTTAGCCTACTTGGTGTAGAGAGGTGCATTCTTTTTACTTTTTTTCCCTTTCTCTCTCCTAAGAAATTACTTTTCTCTCTCCTCAGTTTGTTCATATGCTATTTTTTTTTTCTTTTTTATTCCTTGACAAGAAACAAAATAAAATATAGAGCTTTTAAACGAACCGAGTTGTTCGTAAACTCGACTCGGTTCGGCTCGGTTAAAACTCATTCGCGAACGTTAACGAATCGAGCTGAACAACATAAACAGGCTCGTTTGGTTAACGAACGAGTCCGAGCTTTGTTCGCGAACGTTCGTTTAAATAATATATTTATTATAAATATTATATATACATATAAAATTATAATTTATAAATAAATAAAATATTAATTTAAAATATATAAATAAAATAATTTTAAAATTTCTTTATAATTTATATATAAATTTAAAAAAATAAGACAAACGAGCTCGAACGAACTCAAACGAGCTTAATCGAGCCTAAACGAGCCGAAAACGAACACAAGGTCAAACAACAAAAATTCTTAACGAGCCGAGCTCGAAAGCTTAACGAACAAGCCCGAGCCTTGTTCGCGAACGTTAACGAACACTTAAAATTTGACTTGGCTCGGGTCGTTATCAGCTCTAATAAAATATTAAAAAGCTATCATATATGCATTTTCATATAAATTTGCCCCAGTCAGTCCAAGTACCTGAAAAACTCAAAAGATTGAAACATTTTTTTCATTCGACCAACTACATTTGCTCCTGAGTTGAAACTTGAAATGAAAAGTTATATTGAAATCAGGGAAGCTTTATTTAAATATTTAAAGCTAAGTTGAAACCACACAAGTTATATTAAATATAAAATAGTACTCTCTCCATCCCAAACATCCCGTAATATTTCTTTTTTTTTTGGCATGTCTCAAATGTCCTGCAACATTTTCAAAATAGAAAATAATTAATTACATTTAATTTGTATCCCATATTTTATCTTATCACATCACCCAAATAAAATATATATATATTTTTCTCTCCACCTAATCACCTAATTTCTAAATTATCTATTTCATACTACCCCACTTAAAAATCTGTGTCCAAAGTAAATATTGCACCTTGTTTGAGACGAAGAGACCAGTACTTTGTAACAACTAATTCTTCCCACTAGACAGTTGCCACAAAAAAGAACCTTAAATTCTATTGTGCATTGACAGATCTTTTGTTAGAGCCCACTTGTTTTAAAACCACATGCTTATTGACCACAGTCAAACTTCTGCCAACCCAAATCTTATCCCTATCATAGCATTCACATTCATTCAATTCCCACCCGCAATAATAATAATAATAATTATTATTATTAAAAGATTCAATAAACAAACCCCAATCACAATCACAATCCTACCATGTTCAGCCCTACTCCTATTTGTAAATTTCTACAAAATAAAATAATCAGACGTCTAACCCTTTTTAAAGAAACGATTAAATAAATAAAAAGTGGTCTAATATTAAACCAATATTGCATGAAAGTAGAGGGATATCTTTTTTAAAATGTTTATGTTTCAATCTTTAGCCATACTCCTGATCAGAGAAAATGACAAATTTAGAATTGAACAAGTCCAAAGTAAAAGGAAATTGAAGTTAATACATAAGACATATTACTACAGTTTAAAACCTATAATATCACCAAATTAAATTGATTTTTAATCTATATTCTTCTCGAAGACGCATTATTCAAATATTAACATGAATTGACAATATGGTAAGTATAGCCACCCCTAATGAACACATTAAATTAAAGCAAAATTATTAATAATGGATTATTTAAACAGTGAGAGGCAATATTCAAGATGAGGTTTTCCACTTGAACAACTTGCTAAGCTAAACTAAATCTGCACTCAGAACAATTTGACCAAGAATTAATCATATTTTACTAATTTTATGCATCCAACTGTTATAAGGTCAGCAGAATAAACCAAAGCTGTAAACATCTTGAAGACAAGTCACTTTTTTTTAAATTCATAGCTATGTGCGTGACTAACTGATTGTTAAAAAGTCGGAAATTATGAACATTCAGAATATAGAATAAAACATAAATGAGTTACTAAAGAAAAAGAATTAAAAAGAACTACTGTACCCTTGGCGGCTGTACCTGTATCTTAGTTGTCTTGTCTGGACTCTGAATTTAGACTTCTTTCCTGTTGTATATATATATATATATACACACACATAAACTTTGGTAGATGAAATTTGAGGGAAAGCAATAATTTACTGCTTACCATAGTTTTCTTCAACTCTCAGCAGCTTGGATTTGATTGTCTTCTTCAATGGTGAACTTTCAAGAATAAGGATTTGGTAATAATATTCAACAGTTTCTTTCTTTCACAGTTCCATATGCAGCAACACCAACAGCATTCCGGTTACCTACTATCTGCCGCGGCTGTGCCACCACGGCCGCCACCAGCAATGGATATGTCAGGAGTGGAAGTGGGGCAAGTTTCTTATCAGGAACATAACGGCCAAGTCATAAATGCTGCCAATGCCTCCGGAAGCTTTGCCAATATTGGGTTGATGGAACAAATACCCGAAAACAGGGAGAGGAAATACAGAGGTGTTCGCCGGAGGCCGTGGGGCAAATGGGCGGCAGAAATAAGAGACCCCCAGAAAGCAGCTCGGGTATGGCTCGGCACCTTCAACACAGCAGAGGATGCTGCCAGAGCATATGATGAAGCCGCCTTGAGATTTAGAGGCCACAGGGCCAAGCTCAATTTTCCTGAACATGTGAGGATAAATCCGCCACTGCAGCCACCTCAGCCTCATCAAATGATAACAACAGCTGCGCTTCCTTCCCAGCAGTTCTATGAAACCGAAACCACTGCTGCCAGAGATTATTTGTTCGAGCAAATGCTTTTTGATTCACAGCAATTGAACACTTCCTCTGCTTCACCATTTTATTCATCATCATCTTCTTCTTCTTCTCCATATCCTCTGATATTCGATTTCCCCAGCAATGGGCATTTAGTTGATTTCCAGGCACTAGGACGTCATCAAGTAACTCAAGAGAGCGGCAGCAGCAGCACAGATTTCCCACCACCACCGAGGACATCCTGCCACCATCCTCCATCCCCTCTTAATTGATATTAACACAGACATACACACACAACATACATATATATACACAGCTTCATGTATGCATACTATATAGCAGGAAAAAGAAAAAGATAAAAGGGGTAAATATTCTGATGTCTATGTTACCTTTTCAAGTCAACCTTAGTAATTTGAAATCGATTGCAGTGTTCCATCTGAATAATAATTTAGGCTCTAGGCTATGGTTTCTATTGAATTACCAATTGACATCAAAGAAATATGCATGCATGAATGTAACAGCAAGTTCAGATAATTCCAATTCAATTTACAGCTACAAAATACACAAGAAAATAAAATATCCCCATTTGTTCTCTGAATAGAAGAAATGGGAACTTGAAATAAACTAAAAACATAATTATGGCAGTGCCATCGCCAAACATGAATGCAACTAGTGGAAACAAAAGTTCAATGGAGCAAAATTGGATCACAGGCCAGAATATAGACAGCATACCGATCAGCCAATGACATAGGGAATGTCCCATTGTCTCAAACTACCATTGGGACTGCTGGTGGGTGGGAGCCAACACTACATACCAGCCTCATGAAAATTGAACCATGAAAAGAGAGAAGATCCAAGGCTACATTACCCTGCACGAACAAGTCTTTCCGACCCCACGGGCAAAATCATCGTCCAATTCATCTTCACTGAGATCACATGAATTTATTTGATAAGTGGCAATTACATTGAACAAAATCATGACTAGATTCACGCAGGGTGCAAGAGCATATTTAATCTTTAGAAAATTATGATTGGATTTCTCAAACTTTAATCCTTAATAAAGAGAAAGTTGATTAAAACAAAATTACTGTCTTAACAGCTTGACAAGCAAACTAGCAAGACAAAAGTATGATGTTCAATCACAAGGCTTTTGTGCCATAAAGGATAAGCGAAGTGTACGTGATTGCTTTGAAGATTATAACAGCGAGGGATTATGCATCACAGAGCGCACAATAGGAATTCAAGCATATCGTAAACAAATCGATTGTAAGTCTAATGTCATACCTCATTTCAAATTCCCGAATCTCAAAAAGCTCTCCCCCAACTGTATCCGTCCACTGCACTTTCCTCCTCTCCTTTTGACAAGCAATGTCATTACTATTTTCACATACTGTTTCATTCTCATGGTTCTTTCGACCATCAGCACGGCTTCCAATGGAAGCAAGTGGTGTACAATCTGGTGTCTTTTTCAAGCTACTTCTAAGACTAACTATCTTATCATCACCAACCACAACACATCCACCATAACTTTTTGCTGCTTGATCCTCATCCAATGCTGGATTTCCTGGCAAAACTTCTTGGTTCAGAGTCGAATCTACTTTTATGGGAGAAGGGCATTCAAGTTTGGCGGAAGTACGACCAAAGCATACAAAGGAGGCACAGCCGCAGGTAGGTCTTTTCTTCCCAGAAGCCAGCTGGAGATAAGGTTCAGTCTCTTGGTCCACCAATTGGTACTGATTCCACGGTGATACTCTCATCGGTCTATCTTCTTTTTTCTGGCCCAATAGAAGAAGAGTCAAGCCCTTGCTATACCCTGAAGCTGATGAAGAGAAAAACCCTCCTCCTTCTGCTGCAAATAACATCAGTTCTTCTCATCTGAGCATCACCGGGATACTTAATCTTTATCTCATCTGTACACAATATACTTCACCTGCCATGACAATCAGTTATCAATCAGAAATCAACATATTTTAGGAACATGATATGAGATGATAATTTCATCAATTCAGATGCATTTTAAATCATGTGTCAACTTCTCTATAGAAAGTTACCTTCCAAAAAGACATATCAACTGAAATAATTGGTAAAATGATTTTCATATTTGTTAACAAGTTACTGTGGTACAGTACCAGCTGCTAACTATCTGAAGATCAACTAAAAGAATGGTTTCAAGACATGAGACAGCTAAAAACAAAAAAAATCAACTTCACAACTATAATTGAAAATTTCTTAAGAATAGCCAGAATAGAATATCAATTTAGAGAAATTTGTGCTCAACAGGCAGCTATATGGTCAACAATCAGAAGTAAACTGCAGCAACAAAACTAATTTAAATTAAGTCAACAAAACGTTAGTGGATATTTTATCTCTATTGCTCATCAATATTAATAAAATCAATATAAAAGGAACACAAGCCCATCCATTGCATCGACTGATAAGCAAACAACAGGTTAAAACCAACATTACTGAAACCAGTCATTACGGCTCGAGCTCTGAACCAATTCTCACTTTCCTAAAAGCAATCACATCGACACCACAATGCCCATAGATATATATAGCCCTAGATTTCGAAACTCACGGTGCGAGAGACATACAGATCTGCTAGTGAAAATTCATCGGACAGAAAAATGCATCTCCGATCGTTGACAGGATATTCCGGCGGACGAATACAAGCTGCACAGCAAGCAATTAAACTCGTAAAGCATACGAAATCAAGAACAAACGCCAGCTGTTATTCGCAACGTTCCTTGTTCGTCAGACGAAGCTGTGAGCAATCTCGGAGATCGATCGTGGAGAGGATATAATAATACGAAAGTGAAAATGGAGAGGGAAGAATGGGCTTGTTACCCAGCGGCGCATGATAGCGACGGGCCCGCATATCTGGGGCAACGTATTACATGCGCTTATATATCATATATTTTGAATATATAATTTGTAGTGTACGTAACGTCCATACGGTTATACGTCTCTTTGTATATATAAATACGGATCCAATGCTGAATTATTTGGTTCAAACGTATTTACAATTAAATTATGGGTATATTCATATTGATATTTTTAAAAATTTTCTGTTTGAATATTTATATATTCTATAAATTATGGGCATATTTACACTCATGTTTTTAAAACGTTCGAATATTTATATATTTTATAATACTTTAAAAAATAATAAATAGAATAATTTAATTATGCAAATTTTAATTATAAATATATACAACTCTCTTTGTGTTTTTTTTTTTTTTTTTTTTTTAATTTTATGGCATTACTTCTTATAAGCACTACCAATAACTTATATATGCACATTATTCACACATGTCATATTTCAATTATATTTTTATCTCTCGGTGACATTTATTACATTTTTCGATTAGCCTTAAATTTTATTTCGGTTGGTCAACTAGTTGACAACAATTTTAATGTTACTTTTTTCTTCTTTGATGTCAGATTTTGGATTAGAGACAACTCTAACTTCTTGGAGTAGGGTGCAAAAATCATCAACTATTTGAACTTAGCTACTTTCAAACTCGCCTCACACATCCATATCAATAGTAGTTTCCTCGTAATCTTATAGTTATCAATGACATTTTTTGTTAGGACATACATTTTCAAATAGAATTTGGTCACTCGCCAATAAAATTGTCTTATGTCTAATGTGTCTCAAGTTCTCTTATTGTATGGATTGTAAGTTCTGAAAATATATTTCTTCTTTTTCTTAAAATTCCTCTATTGCTGATAAATATTTTTCGTTGGTATATTGAGATATATGGTGATCTTCACATATTAGGTCTATGAATAAGTATATATACTTGTAACTTTTGTTGATAATTTTTCTTATTTATATTAATTTACTTTATGCCTCAATATATGTTACTTTTGCAAAAATGATTCATACTCAATTCTTACATACTATCTGAACTTTATGTGTTGATAATGTCTTGGATTATAATGATTATGTGTTTCTTAGTTTCTTTTCTACTCACAGTCACTCATTTTGAGAAGCACTTTGGTCACTCTCGAATTATTCTCATCTTTGTTTGTTTGATTGTGTGTGTTTTATCCTTCTCCAATCTCACAAACATAATAAGTTTGATCCATGGATTCGTTTGTGTTGTTTTTTGAGTTATAGGATAAAGTATAAAAATTATCAGTATTGAGATCTGTAACACCACAAAAGTTTTATGGGAGTATCAAACACTAACGCCTAAACAAGAACACGTATGAACGTGCCGTGCTTCAATGTCAAAACTAATTAAATGAGCATAAAAATTTTGAGGAAGATTTTTTTACTTATAAAATGTAAAAACATTTGACCCACACCCTAAATCAGTTCAAAATATATAATTGAAAAAGATTTTTCATTTATGATATGAAAATATCATAAAGTAAAGGTGCAAGTGTCAAAACTAGAATGAAGACTTAAATACGATCAAAATCTTTATACAACAATATATAATAAAATCTTTGTCCCAATGATGCCTTCAACGGCTCGATGGCTCTGGAAGCATAGCTGCATATGAAAAGTGCAGCAACATCAACAAAATTGAGTAATAAATTAAATATGTATAAACCAAAAAATGTCAAACTATATACTATCATCACACAAGTCAAGACAAATCTAGCATTGGTATCTCTAAATTTATAGCGATTGGCCTAGCATGGGCTCAACTAATCTCATCAACATACATGAGTCGACCTAGCACCAGCTCAACTCATTCTCATCTATTCATAGGAGTTGGTCTAGTACCAGACCACATAATTCTTAATCAATTGGATAGGGTAGCACAAACTCATTAACACAGAGAAGTTAGCCTAACACTGGCCTTACTCAATATCAATCAATCGAATGGCCTAGTACCGTGTCATTAATATATAAAAGTTAACCTAATACCGACCTAACTCAATCTTCATCAATTAAATGGTCTAGCACCAGTTCATCAAGATATATATGAGTTGTCCTAGCACCGAATAAACTCAATCATCAATAGAATAGATTTTTGGTCATTTTTTTTGCTATAATATTTTTGATTGAGTTTTGATTCACTCATAATTTGCGGCATGCTAGGATTTTTATCCCACAGATACTTTTTTCTTATAAAATTTTAGCCAAACATATTCATTACAGTTAATGATATCTAAGGAGAAGTATTATGAAACATCAAATTATAAGTGTCATTATATATGATTTTTATTGCATGCATTGTGACATTTATCGTTATAGTTGTCATTATTAAATAATTTGTAATCATGCATCAATGATGATTTATTATAAAGTTAAAAAGAATTTTTTTCCCCTCATTATTCTATTCAACTAACTCTTATCACTATAAATTCACATATGCAGACGTACGGCGTCAATATATATTCTCACTCAATACCCAGAGAGCCAGAGAGAGCAAGGGATTCAGAGTTTTACTGTTTTCCCCAAAAAAAATATCATATCAATATATCTATTTTTTATATTTAATATTATACTAAAAATAAACTATTCATTTAAAATATTACATTAATACATATTTTTGTCACGTCATACAACTATTAAAATTTAAAAAAATTTACTATTCAAATCTCAAACTAAAATTCAAACTCTCAAACAAACACACCCAAGTTCTTCATTTTCTAGCTTATTCTTCAATTTTCTATTTTCACATTATCGGCTAAAGGCGCATTGGTTGGTATTTGTATCGGACCAGTTTCTTTTATTTGAAGTTTTTTATTTTTTATTTTAATCATTATACACTATAATATTTTTCAACTCTAAATTTTAATTAATTTTGCACTTTGTCCAATACCCACAATCTCAGTTCTTCACTGTCACATTCTTATCCCAATCTCCTATTGGGTGCTAAGTAAATTTGAAAGGTATATTTTTAGGGTTTAAGTTTTTTTGTAAAATTATACTTTTTTTGATTTTATTTGTTTAAATATGAAATTGTTATTTGTCATATCTTGTTTTATTTAGGGCAAATTAAAAAGATATTTTCTTTCAAAAAATTATAAATAAAAAGATGTGTCTTCTAGTTCTATCGAGTTAAATTCTAGTATTAATGTTAATGAGATTACAAAAATTGACAAAATTAAATAAAGACAATGATGTTATTGATGATCATGATATTTGAAAACTAATTCAGAGTTATCCGTTGGAATAAAAAATGAAATAAGTTGGCGATATTTGGTCAATGGACCTTGTCAACTGTTAGAACATAATTTTCCGCTAAGTCAATATGGTAAGAATAAAAAAAAAAAAATTCAAGAGGTATAGTTCAAGAACTTGATATGGTTCAAATATATTGTGTCTAAGGACGTCTTTTTGTCTTTGGTGTTGTTTATTTAGTGAAAGTCATAAATACGGAGACGATGCATTCATTAAAGTTAGATTTATAAATTTAAAAAAAAAACAAAATATTAAGAAATGTAAAGAGCACGAAGGTAGTGAAAATAGTTCACGTAATTATATTAGAACTAAATATTTTGAATAAAAATATCAAAAGCGTTATGTAAATTATGTGTTTGCATAAAAAAATGATGATACGAAGATCGCTTACCGTGTCCCTGGCCAAAGAGCCATCCTTATGGGGACGAAAAAAATGTAATATAGTTACGATGCAATATTTTAAAAAAAATAATAAATTAACTTTTGTGAAATTTTGATCATGTTGTATTATAAAATGATACGCTCCATAAATATAATATTGATACAAATTAGTACAAAATATATATTCTATATAAATTATAAAAAATTAACAATTTAGTACAAGATATTATTTTTATATTATATCATAATTTTTTTTATATATATAACATAAAAAATAAATTCATAAAAAGAAAAACACACACACAAATGAACATAGTAAAAACAAGTTGTGACAAAAAAAAAATAATAATAAAAATGGCTGAATTGTCTGTGAATTTGATAAGAAATTTAAAAAAACACATAGTATGTGTATTTATGGATTAAGGGGACATAATCCACAATAGAATGAGTTCATTGAAAAAAAAAAAAAAAAAAAAAAAAAGAGGCTATGAATTATATGCTGAATCAGAAAAATTCAGCATGTGCTCAATGCTTTTAAAAAGTTTTTTGAATGCTTTTTAAAAAAATTATATTAATTTATGTATTTTAATTATATTATTAATATAATTAAACTTAATCGTGTTTAAATTATTGAGCATAGGTTCTAAATTAAACATTCAACACCTGATCTTAACCGAGAAAAAAAAAAAAAAAAACTATTTACATAAATAATTTTGGAAACTATTTTCAAAATATTTTAAAGTTGAGAAAACTTTGTTTACATGTACTTTAACACTACTTTTTAATATTTAAAAAAAAAATTATAAATCATCAAATATATACTAAATTATAAATCATCAAATACGCACTCCATTTTTTATTTTATTTTATTTATTTCTTTTTATCATTTTCGAAACTATTAAAAACTTAAGACATGCATACCCAATACCATAAAATCGGGCTTGTTAGCTCCAATAATTTGTTAGTGTTGCGTGTAAGAATTCGGGTGTGTTTGATTGGATTTTAAATATAATATTTATCCAATTTTTTCCTTTCAGAACCATCGAATTTTATTTTTTATATTATACTAAAAATTAATTATACATTCAAAACATCACTCATTTTATATACCCTGTTATGTGTTTAGTAAAAAGTGAAAGTTTGTAAGAAACGCCCTATTTCAATATTTAGTTCTAAATAAAGAACTAAATTATGCAAATTTTATACAAATAAAAAACGCAAAATATTTTAAATAATTTTTTTGAATAAAATAAATAAATAATTAATTAGTTAATCTTTCATTTTATAGTGCATAATTTTAATTTGTTTAGAACCAAATATCAATTTTTGACAAATAGGATGTTTCGTACGGGATATTTTGAACATTTTTACTAAAACATAAGGAGATATTATATAATTTTACCCTTTAAAATTGTTACTATTCAAATTTCAATTCAAAATCCAAACCCTATAGAAAGCATAAAATATTACATAATATTTTCAGAATTTTTTAAAATTCCAAAACTTGCAAAATTCTATCTAAATATTCGATTCGACTCAATTCAAAAACAACAATGCATCACAACTTTGAATGAAACTAAATGTAATGTTCCATAAACCAACAACAAAGAAACACAAGGTCGAAAGGGTAAAGATATCAAGACAGCCATTTCAGAATCAAACGAGTTCATAGTATCTATCTTCCAAGAGATTATGATACTTCAGGATATCTTCACAATTGGTATTTTATTGGACATAAATAAAAAGACAACAAATCCAAATGGTCAGCCATCTGAGACAGCTAGAGTTACCTCTGTGCTCCATTTTAGTGTCCGCCATACTTCTGATAAAACAGAGTAAAGCAGAATGAGATATTGATCCACAGAGGTAGATAATATGAACATAAATGTCAATCAATATAACTACCATTTATTTATTTCTCTAAAGACCTATGCAGGATTAAGTTTACCTAAAATTTCCACATGAAGGAAAGACATTAGCTATCAAAAAACTGATACATTTTCGAGTAAATGTATTCTCCATGGCAAGGATAGAGGACAACTACATCTTGCATTTCTAGGGGATTCTTCTTTCCCAACAGCATAATCTTAGGGCATTAAGGGTGTGTTCGTTTGTAGGATTTAGACAAAATCCTACTATTCATCCAAAATTTTTCCCCCAAAAACATCAAATCAAACACCTATTTTTCATTTTGTATATTATATTAAAAATCAATTTTACATTCAAAACATCACATCTAACACCTATTTATATCACATCATACAACTATTCAAATTCAAAATTTTTACTATTCAAATCCCAACTCAAAATCCAAACCCCCAAACAAACACACCCTAAGTTTGGCGTTGTCGAGAAGGAAAAGGAACAAGATAAATCAATCCTTTGTAGGGGGGCAAAGTTCTTTAGAAAGTAACCCAATGCTATAAATATTATACTATGTTTCGCTAGCCAAGTTCACCAATCCCGCAAATAAAAACAATTGCTGGTCGAACTTGTAACTGATTCACCCATTGCTATTTGCTACTTTTAAATTCATATTTCACACCAAAGCAGACCGTGACTGTTCCATATTTCGTAGACCTCACTTCTGGCTACTAATGCAGACTAGCTCCCCCATGGTTGACACTCTATGGTTTCCATGTTGACATATGTCACAATAGCATTCACGGTACATAATACACATAAACTCACTAAGATTCTCTTAATACAGGTGGTTAAGATTTCACATGCATAAAATTGAACTAGAAAGTGACAGTTCCATGGATACAATAAAAATTAACTCCATACCGTTATCAAAATATATAACACATTACCTAATGGTGATCATCATGACCCTCCCATGGATGCCTCCAGCCCTACAAGAACGAAACTACCTTGAAAAATCTCTCAAAAAAGCTATTCAAATGTACTATACAAGTATATGAAACAGATATCATTGCTACAATACATAAGGCAATAATTCATTGTAACTCACCAACACCACAGGACCATCCTGCTTCGCTCGGTAGAGAACCCAAAACCTGAAAAAAAAATGTTAAATATACAAATTAAAGGAAACTACTGTAATGAGTGGAAATTGGTAACAGGATGCTTAAAATGGTTTCAATCAAGGAAGAGGAACCTTAATTAAAGAAAGGGCACCATTTTAAGCGCATGTTTCAAGATATAGCAAGATCATGTACAACAAATTTTTATTAACCTAAAGGATACGAAAAAAATCACATGGATTGTCAGATAGAAAATAATTGACCTGTAAACTTAAGCCCTTTCAATTTTGTAGGATTGTAAATACTAATCTTCTAATTGCCATCTGATGCATAGTTCTATGAGAAAGAAATGGATCAACTCCACATTTATCAAAACTTGATGGTTCTCTTTACAGTGAAGGTTTCTAAGAAACCAAAAAACCTAGGAAAAATTAAGTAATAAACGATCATACAGAGATGATATTTTTAAGAACAAAACAACAGAAATCTGCACCCAAGAGGGCAAGAAAAATGATCATATACCCAAATTGAAGTCTCAAATAATTGATAAATGGACTACATTCACTGCCATCTTGATTCAGCCCAATTCCCAAAAATAAGAACATTTCACGACGCGGAACAAAAATCCTCCCACAAAAAACGAAAAATTTTCAACTCAAAAGATTAGAACTACGAAAACAATAATTCACGAAGACGAGATTTTTCAGAAACTAGCAAACTAAAACGATACATCTAAACTAATCACATTAAAAAGTCATCAATGGAGTCTCTCTATTCTAATTCTAACCAATCTCATATGCGCATAAGAATTTACCACATGACCGCGCAGAGGCCCTTGCCAGTGATTGTGTGCCAGCGCTTGGGCTGATGCAAGGTCACGCCCTTGTACGTGATGCCATGGCCGGATCCCCCTCCCATCTTCCTCCTTGTTACTCTTTCAACTGGCGAATCGATCCTAGGGTTCAACTGCTGGAAAAACAAAAACCACCTCAAGGGCCGAAGTGGAAATATAACTATGTTCTGAAGTTTAGAGAAATTGTAATCAACTCCTTATTTACTACTCAATTATAAATCTAACCCTTTTACTTTTGCTCTATTTGGGTCTTTTTGATATTGTAGATGTATAGTGAAAATATGCCAGCTTTATAATAGTTTTATAAAAATAAAAAATAAAAAAAATGCAAAACTATTGTAATATTAATATAGAATTAGTTAATAGAAATATTGATTATTTCTACCGCTAAATACTATTTTATATATTGTATATATTATATAATATAAAGTATATATATATATAGAGTTGTGTTTGCATATATAATATAGAAGAATAAGAAATATATTATTATTATTATATATATGTGTGTGAGTTGTATGTACGTACGTGTGGGTGTATGTTTGTATGTAAAGTGGACAAGCATTAATGACAGAGAGAGAGAGAGGGGAGCGATGGAGATTGATGAAATAAATTATATGTATCACATTTCATTGTGTTTATTCATATTTATAGGGATAAATTACAAAGGTAAGTGGTTTGGAACAAACCACGTTGCATCCACGTAATGATCATGCAGTGTCTATGTTGACACTACGTGTATCAACAAAAACACATCTATTGATACTATTAAGAGCATTTTTACTAAAAATTGGAATCTTGTAAAAGATTTTTTGTATTAGTATGGAAGCTTTTGTCAAGAAAAAAAAATATATATATATATATATAGTAACTTTCATTTTGATGAGAAAAAATAAAAAAAATTGATGTACACTCTTGGTGTAGGTGAGACGCCATTAAAGTTTTTATTATCGTAAGCTTCTTTTACTTTTTTTTTTTCTTCCCTTTTCCCCGTCTCTCTCAAATGAAGCTATTGTACATTTTATGTCTCTTATCTATAAAAAATACAATATTTTACTTGGACATATAGATTTACAAAAAAATTTCTAATTGACCATTGCAATGACTCTAATAGCCTATTTGTAGAAGGCTTGAACGTTAAAAAAAAGATTTTTTTTTTTAAAAAAAAATTATTCATACAATATTCTTTTTTGAACGATTGATCCATACTTTGTGCTTCAAGCGATCCCATCAATTTTCATCGAACGTAAAAGTTGACAGATCTCAACATTTCTCAATCGTAGCCACCAGATTGTTGAATTTTGTGATACCCGAATTTCTCACTACTCATTGGCCAATATATATTTCATATTTTAGATGCCGGTAAATTACTTATATGTTAATTTGTGGTAGTTTAAATATACTTCATGAGTTGCATACATTAGTTTACTTGAGTATTAATTGTTTAATTACATGTTCTGTTTATATTATTTATGTGTTAATTTATAATTAGTTGAGTATAATTCATACTTTGAGTGTACTTTGTATTATTTATATGTCACTGGTGATGTTAGGTTATGTGTTTTACTATTGAATGTTAAATTGTTTATAATTTGATATATGTTTTACCTGTTTATTAATAATAAAATATTATTATAATTTATCTTAGATTCTAGTATGATACAAATAGGTTGGGTAAATTATTTGAATATTAGTAGTGTAAGTTAAATATAGATCACTTGAAAATTAATTATAGTAATTAAATAAAAAGTAAAATAAAAAGAATAATTAAATAAATAAAAAGTAAAATAAAAAGAATAATTAAATAAATAAATAAGTAAAATAATAATAATAATAATAATAATAATTAAAAAAAATAAAGTAAGGCGGTGGGGCGGGGTAATAATTCCCACCCCCCACCTCATCCATATCAATTCAATTGCAGAAGAACAGGGAGAAAGACAATGCGAAGAAGGGAAAAAAAAATAACTTTTTACGTCGAATTCGTTAAAAAACTAGTTCAAGTATTTTTCTATGTTCACGAATTATTGCTATTTTTACTAAGTAGAGGAAGTTTTGAGTAGAAGTAATTATTTAGTAAATTGGGGTAATATTTGTAATTAATTGTTGTTAGATACGATACTAAAATCGTGAAAAGAGCTGTAAGAGTTAGGGTTATTGATGTTTTTGGCGAATTTCAGGTAAGTATAAATTAATTTGCAACTACAATGCATAAATATATTATTTTGTAAGTTATTTATGTTTGATTGATAATATGTGAATATCATAAAACTATAATATGTGATTAATATTATGTGATTATGTGGTTTGAACCTGTGAGCTCTGTATATAAATTGGTTTCCGCCTGTGAGCTTTGTATGTGATATGGTTGGCCTGTGAACTCTATATTTGATGTTGAAGGAGTCTGTGAGCTCAAAAATTGATGTGGTTTGAACGAGTAAGTTCAATAATATCTATATATTATGAAATATGTTGCATTGCATTTTCATTAAGCATGCATATCATGCATTAAAATGAAATAAGATGGTTTTACTACGTTAGACCATTGATTATACACCGATGGTGGGAGAGGCGACCTGAGGCAACCTGGTGTAGGCCACCGTCTATTGTGACTTTACATACAATGCATAAACAATGCATTCGGAAGAGGCGACCTGGGAAGAAGCGACCCGGGGAAACCTTGCGAGAAAACCCGGTGTAGGCTACCTGGTGTAGGCCACCGTTTGATTTGAATATGTGGATATTGAGCTCTTTCCGGTGTATAGCAGTGTGTCTAGGGGACCTAGAGAGTATTTCATAAATAAATTGGTGATTTCAAACGAGAGCACATTCTGCATAATGAAAATTTTGATAGATCTCGCTTTTTCAAGATCTTTACCTGTGAAATTCATGACTTAAAATCCTTGTGTTCGACCTGGAAACTCACCAGTAAAAAGAGTATAAGTAATTGTGATAACTACTCAGGGTCTACAACCACATGATTTACTATATCTGATCGCTTTCCTATATACATCACTCACTGATTTTCGAATATAAATTTCCTGTGGATTTGTACAAATTACGAAATGCAATTTTAGGTTATCAGTGTACATATATGACGACCTGCGGGCAGGACCGTGACTTGTTTTGCTTCCGTTGTTCTATATTACGTCTGTTTTAGAAGTTGAATGGTGTTGTTATAAATAGTATGTCGATTGTGTAGTTTTTGATATGGTTTGAGATCCTTTTGGTAAATGTTAACAGGTTACTGTTGAGTTATGTTATGTTTTGCTGAAAAAAAAAATATATATAACAGGTTAACATGTTGTTATATATGTATGTAATTAAGAGGGATTATAGCATGTTCATCGTTTACTTATATGTTGAATTGGTGTTAATAGTATAGTGTAAGTATGGCCGTGTCAAATTTCGATGGTGCGCTCTGTAGAATCTTGGCGACTACCATTTGATTAGTTATTGTATTTCCATAGGATCTCATTTGTGCTATAGTTGTGCCCGTTTTTTTACAAGAAATCTTTCATGGATTCAGTTTCATTTATGATGGAAGTTTCAAAAGTGTGTCTTGCTATCTATAATTTCACTAATATTACCTTGGCCAACCCTTTATACTCATTTTTTAGTATCATTCAAACTTCTTTAGTTATGGTGGCTCCTACTATTCTAGAGAAAATTGAATCATCTACTAACTGTTCGATGAATCACGATTTTGATGTTCTTTGTTTCTATTTTCATTGTCATTGGATTCTTCATATCAAATATTCAGGAATGATAAGATTCACTCTTAAATATTGGTATTTGTGATCGAGTAACAGAAGAGAGATTAGGAACAACCATGAACAAACATAAGAATATAAAGATACAAAGCTAACTTTAACACCAATTTTGTTGAAAAATCTGGGAAATAAATGATCTTGAAGAAAAAAAAAATTACCAATGTGTTTTATCTACTCACGTTATGGCCTACATATATAAGCAAATTATACAAAATGCTCACATAATTCAAAAGATTTCAAAAGAGACCCAACAGACTAAATATGGCTAAAGGTGACAATGAGTTGGGAATTGGTGGTGTTCAATAAGACCCGACCCGAACACATCTTTAGACCCGAATCAAACTTAATTATACCAAGATCCGATTGTACTTGGATCCAATATGAACTATATCCGATAAGACCCAATGGACCCACTTGTACTTTTGTAATTCTTAGAAATTCAACTAAAAATTAGATCCAAATCCGAATTCAGACCCAATATATATCAAAATATTTTTAATATAGTTATATTGTTAAAAATTGTTTATTTTTCTTAAATATAATTGATATATTGATGTCCGGGTCTGGATCTGGACATAGTTTACCCTTGATTTAACCCGGATCCAATTAGAGTATACAATATCAATCATATCCGATCTAATATCCAAATAATTTGACCAAATCTCAAATAAATGGATCGAATTTGAATTGATTCTCGAGTGTATCCTGACTCATTTCAATCTCTAAATATGGTCTAAATGACACCGACTTAGTCTACTAGCAAAGCTAGTAAACATTTTGTTAGACGACAGCTGAAAATGACAATAGTATTTCAACAGCACGACGGCGGCAAAATCAATAGATGATATATGGTAGATGGAAAGAGGGTTAGAAATTGAAGTGTAGAAGAATAATGAATCAGTGTACCTTGCAAAAGCAGCAGCAGTGGAAAGGACTAAACTGCAAATTATAAATTTTGTTTTAGAATTTAAAAAATAAAAAAATAAAAAATACAGCACATGGCATGATTCTATTGATAGGGCTGAAGGGACAGTGGTGGCCCGGGCGCCGAGGATCCGCGCCGAATTTCAGTTAGTGAAGAGAAGAGCAAGGGATAATTTTATTTATTTATTTATTTATTATTATTATTTTTCTTTTATCATTTTGTGGGATTATCTATCTAGGGTAAGTTAAGGAGATCAAATAAATATTAAAGATATGGTGAGTATGCACACATAACTTAATCGAACAAATTATCTAATGCTCTTAGTAGAAGAAAACATTATAAACTAAGTGAAGTCGATCTAAAGCATTACTTTCAATAAGCTCCAAGACATTATAATTTTGTTGGCATAAAAAGGTTTTGGTCGTTGTTGTCTGAAGGTTAGTTAGATGATGGCAACAGACATGAGTGATTTGTATTTTATTGTAAGTTAAATAAACTTAATGCACATTGCACAAAACACTCTAAAAAAAATGGGCTTATACCGGCCCATATTTAGGCCCAAAAAATGTGCAAACTTTGAGGCTCTTATGTAAAAATCCCACATCGGAAGGTGTGATCTATATTTATACTTTATTGCTTCATTAAAGGGCATGATTAACAGCCACCTATGGTTCAGTCTCGGGCCATGGGACGAGCTATAGAGGATCGTTGGCTTTTGGCCCTGGCTGTCTGACAGACTAAAATAATTTTTTTTAATTTATTTTTAAAGAATCCAAGACAATCGATTTCTTTTTGTGGCATACATATAATCATTAATCTAGAAACCACCAAATCCAAGAATCTCTTAATTCTCGTACTTGCATGCTATAAATAATGCAAAATCTAAGACTAGATATATACTAGAATTCAAGTTTTTCTACAGCTCAGACACCTTATTAATCCACTGTAAAAACTTCAACACCAACATCATAATCAAATGAATTATAAAAGTATAAAAAATTCTTCCCCAAATATGACAATCCTGAATGAGGGATTTAAACCATAACTCTAAACAAATTCATCTTAAATTGAATTAAGCTGCAGCTTGTAAATGATAGTATCTTATAAGATGACGATGATAATTAACGGATGGTTCTTGAAATTACGTTGAGCATAGTGTTCAAATAGAGGATAATTCAATCTTATGTCTTTCCAAGGATATAAGAAAATTCATACACGGGATTAGATTAAGAACTCGATTTTCAGCAAGAAAAAATATATGGATCGAAGTTTAAAAATAGAGAGCATATGGATGTCTAAAATTTACAATAATTTTGTATTCTCCTCAATAGGAAATAGATTTTCCTCTTGCTTTTCAGAAAACCAAGAACTTATATATATATATATATATATATGTATGACTATCCTTTCACTTGAATTGAAAATTCGCCATGGTTCGATTCAAATGTTAACTTTGACTTTAAATTTCAAACTCAAACTCTATTTGAAAGTAGGGATAATTATTTACAAATATACACGTATTTGATATTCAAGCCAATCAAACAAATACCTGAAATCACGAACCTTATCCGAATTGAACATTTCGGTTAACCAAAAATATTTGCAAATAATTCGAACCGAACCGAAATTAAAAAATATATACTATATGAAAAAATAATTAAAATTCTAATTAAATAATACTATTTGCAAATATTTCAAAAATTCTAGCAGAAACTGAACTGAATATAATTTTTAATATAAATTTTAAAATACAATAATATAAATATATAAATATATTTGGTTCGGTTAACCAAACCGAAAAAATATCAAAAATCAAAACCGAATCGAATCAAACAAATATCAAATATGCCGTATTTGTATTCAAACTAAATTTACTCGGTTAATCGAAAATTGGATTCAGTTCAATTTGATTCAGCAGATTGACGAATCAGTTTGGGTTTTTAAGTTTTTTACGATCCCTATTTGAAAGTATGTGCATTATTCACTTTTAAATGTAATCAATAGCATTCCAACTTTAGCCACAACCTACCTCATATTCATATTGATGCTCCAACATAAAATGGTGCTATTTGTCTCTTTAGTAGTTGGAGGGAGTAGAATGGCAAATTAAAATACTCCTTCCGTCTCATTGAAATGTTACTATTTTTTATTTTTGTTCATCCCAAAACAAGGTTACCATTTCCTAATTTAGTAGTTGTACTACCTATCTAACATAATAAATACCTTTTCAACTTACAATATATTACACAAATGCCATTACTTTTATATTATACTATACTAATAGAGGTATTTTTGTCTTTTTTTACTACAATTCAATATAATACTAATATTAAAAAATTTACGTGCAAAAAACAAATGTCACTCTTACAATGGAAGGAGGGAGTATATGAATATTATGGACTTAATTGAAACAACTCATACCATTTATGATTTTGGTTATTAGGAACATGCTTAAAATAAAAGAAATTACTATATGGAAAAAGAATATTAATGGAAAAAGAAATTACACATATATGGTATTAGAAAATTGTGTAAACAAATATTAGACATAATAAAAAGTACAACAATAATGTGTGTTTGGTTTGAATTTCTTACTCAAATCACTATTATTTACCTTAGTTTTTAATAAAAATATATTATTTTTTAAAAATTAATACATTAAAATAATATTTAAACAAAAATTTAAATCAAAATCCTAACTTCAAACAAACTTAATTTCGAATATGATCAACTATTGATCCGATCAAGCCGCATTAACATATATTAATATATATCATCATATTTATAATACAATATATACTGTATTATATTATAACTCAGCATATGCATCTTATAACATATATATATATATATATCTGCTAAAATATGTATAAACATACGTTGATCACCATTATACTAGCATATGCTGATCCGATCAAATCAGTGCCATACTGACTTGGTCGGATCATGATCTGCAGCCATATATATATATATATATATTAGATTGACAAACTCACTAGTGTGATCCATGTACAATTGTTAGTATTGCTCATTTCATCATTTCAGTTTCATCCTTTATGTTTGTTCCGCCCCTAACATTTGACAGATAAAAATATATCTATATTATAGTGGTCGTTTATTCATAAATTCTAGATTAAAGAAGATAAAATATATACGTTATAATAAAATGTTATATGTAAATAAATATATGCTTTAAATATTAAAAAATAATAACAAATTAATGCATATTTAAACATTATTCATATATTAATTTATGTTTGAAAGAATTGTAATATAACAGAACTTTAAATTTATCTTAATATATCAACCATTTATACAAATGACTATCAAAACCATATATTAGAATTAATTCATTTTAATTAAATCTCAGTGATAGATCAAACGATGTTTGTCCAAAAATATGTATATATATATTGTTGTTGTTATTATTATTGAGGTGAAAAAATAGTTGAATGTAATATTTCAGAATAAAAAGTATGTACATAATTGAATGTTAATGTTTAAAGAGAAACAAACTTAATAATGAAAAACCATAAAAAAATAACAAAAATATAGAAACACTGCATATTAGGATCATTTTAATTAAATAGTGACATTATGTTTTCTTTACTCCATTGTATTTAATCTAGAATCATATTTACGATTGCACGACATGTTTGACAACACCATGGCAACCTCCATGTCGTTTGCGCGACACTCATCCTCTTTGTAGAGTTCAAGCAGGGCATATGTGCATTCTTTCTCGAGACGGCTTACGCTGCCCCCATGTTGCTCAATGCTGCGTCTCTGAAATAATAAAATCAATTGATTGAATAAAATGTAATCCACTAGCGTGTGTTTTTTTACACTAAAAATTTCAGGTTACTATTATTTGTATTCTGCGTTTTTCGAAAAAAAAAAATATTTTTTTTCTCTTACAAAGTATTCAATCATATATTATTTTAATAACAAACCCAAACTAAAAATTTCCCAAACTTATCAAAAGAAACAAATCAATATCTCATTTTAGTAGCAAATGATGAAAATAGCAATGAGATTGTCGCTTCCACGCTAAGAAGATCACCTCATTTCTTGGATTAAGGAGGTGAGTATCGCAATTATTTTGTCTTGTATTCATTTTCGACCGTCTTCCTTTCTTTGGAATGTACTTTGTTGAAGGTTTAAGGCTCTACACAAAAAATGAGCCATTGTACATACTTGTTAGTAGATGGTGATAGTTAAGGTTCATTGCAACATATATTTGACCTATGAGTTTCATATTAATATGCATAGCTATTGCAATGTCTGAAAATGTTTTAAGTGATGCATCGAATAAAGATACCAGTGAAATATAAAGAAAATTGAAAAAAATTAAAATAAGTAACTTTGTTATGAATTAGCAAACTTGTACAAGATATGAGCAATTATACAAGGGATTTGCTATCTATTGTACAAAATATCATTTCTTGGAACGTTTTTCATTATATTTGTCTTGAATTTATTTTACATTGGTAAAAATGATGTGCTACTGGGCAAATATTCTTGTGATCGAAATGAGATCTTTCTATTATGATAGAAAAGATTAATTTCTTTTCGTCGTATTTGCATCTTTCGCAGCATACAAACAATCATCGATTGAAGAAACATAAACCAGATCATCCTCATTCTCGCACTTCTATAATAGAAATAAATGAAAATCTAAGAGAAGACATTGAGATCAAATATTTCTGCAGTAAGATTTTTTTTTACATTTTGGATACTTCATCAATTCACTATAAAGCTCAACACCAACAGCATAATCCCATGAGTCACATAAATATAAGCAATTCTTCCTCAAACAATCCAATCAAGAATAGGGTTTCTAAACCAAAACTCAAACAAATTCATCTGAAAGAGAAAATTAAACCCAACTGAACTTATAAATCACATCCCATATAAAATTAAAATAAAATAAGGGTCCCTTAAATTCCCACAGCAATCAGAGATAGAACAATTCTCAAACAGAAAGTAAATCTATAAAACCCTAAGAACAACAAAGCAATTGGATCAGATACATGGAATGAAAGCACAGATCGACCTCACCAGCCTGCTGCTTCCGATTCCTTCTCCAATCACCGTTGCCTGTTCCATCTGCGACGGCTGAGAAAACATATTCTGCTGGGGCGGAAGCCATTTTCGAGACGAAAAAGTTTAATCTGGAGTTGACAGAACTAGAAAGGGTAGGGCAGCTTTGTAAGGAGGATAAAGCCAGTGATTCTTACGATGACAAAAACCTGTTTTCTGACAACCGATTCATCGAACGCCAAATGCAGATGCGCACAGCGGCGGAAGACGACAAACCCTGTTAAAACGAAAAGGTTAATTTACAAAATTTCTGTGATTCTTCGGGTGACAATTTGTCAAAACTGTAAATTTTAGGGGGATGATACCAAAACTGTAAATTTTAGCGAACTCCAAAATTTTGGTATCATCTTGATATTAAATAAAATTCAGGGAGCATCATTATCTTTTTAATCCCTTAGATCATTTTGATCACCGATCCAAGTTTAAGTTTAATTGAGGTGTTTTGACAATTTAAAAAATTAATTATGGATCTTAAAGAAGAAATCAATTATAAAGAATTATCGTGATGGGAGATTAATAATATAAATAAATACAAAAAAGTTAAATAGAATAATAACATGAGTTTTACTCTTCCAAAATAGGGATCAATGGTACAAGATAGTATTTACTTTAATAACACTAGTTTGCCAATTTAAGAGTGTTGTTCAAAATTCCTTAGTACTCGTGGGAGATGAAACATCTTTTATTATGTAACTTTAATTTTTTTCAAATTACGTCATGTACAATTTGAATAATTATGCCTTGAATAACATTAAGGGTGTTTTTACCTAAGAATTTTCTCTTGATATGATTTTCGATTAATATTAATAAAAAATAGAATATGTTTGTTCTATTTTTGGATTGATGTGTTATTAAGTTGGGTTGGTAATATTAAAAAATAATATTTTTTTGTTAATTTGTTGATTTTTTTATGAATGAATAATATATATATATTATATATTGTGTTAATATAGCTATATTATATTTTTTTATTAATATTTATGTGAATTTGTATAATCCAAGTGAACAAACTGAATATATACACACATCCACATAATATAAATAATATATATTATATTCACTTATCAAATATTTAATATAAATTTTTTTTTCTATTATCGATACAATTCTTCATAATTCATATTTAAAAAAAAAAAAAACCTAAATTTTCCACAAGATAAGTTTAGAGCTAGCTGAAGCCTTTGAGCAAGAAACGTCGATGGACACACAACCGAAAATCCTCGTGGGACATGTTTATAATCTTGCTTCAGATATCAACAAGATCTGATCTGAAAAAATAATTTATTGAAAGGTAAAGAGACAAATTACATTAGACACATGTGAAAACATATGAGAAATATTTTCTATAAAATATTAAACCATTGTTCAATTTGGATGGAAACATATTATTGAATACTAGAAGGTTTGACAGTCACCTTTGTAGCCTGCGATTGCTTAGTAATATCACCAGAAAAATGACTAAATTTGTTTGTCCACATGCCTCGTATAATCTACTAAAATCACCAAACATGGCAAGAGTAGGCTTAACTAAATTCCCAACACAACTAATTCTATAATATTTCTTGAAATTCCATCGACATTGTAAAATGTAAACATATTCGTGTAAAATTTAAGAAGCAAGAAAATGCTTCTTTCTTTTTTTTGTTTCAATTATTTATACTTTACCTTATCTATTTAAGAATTATTGTAATTAATTCATATATAAAAACAAAATGATTTCTCATTGACAATAGAATATATATAGATCAGACCGGGTTTCTTAGGCAAATCTTCCAAAGTTGGCTGAAATCTCAATAAAATAAATAATCATGAATTTATGTTCTTCCATGATTCTACTTTCTTTCTCTATATATTATAGAGAGAGAGAGAGAAAAGAAGTTATAAACTTTATATTTACTCATTTAGATTTTAACCGACAATGTAAAATTTGCCCAAGAACCCGAACTGATCTAAAAATCATTCATTTGTCAAAAGACATAAAATATGGAACAAACATAGTTATGTATGTAATTCATACGAAAATAAAAAATATAATCAAATAAAATATTTAAGAGTTTATGTTGCATAGAGGTTGTCAAACTTGACAAAACAAAGAATACTACAGAAAATTTCATAAAAGAAAAGTAAAATCCCTCTTGCACAACTCTAGCATGAATGGAAGTATGTTATATAGCTATATACACATCAAAATCGTATAATTGATTTTATTAATTTAAAGTGAATTCACATATCATCATTAGAGGATTATGAAAATTCAATCTCTAATATCCTTTGGTACTCCGATATAATCAATGATATATTTACCAAATTTATCATACCCCTCGTTCTATATAAGGAAAGTGGCATTTTTATTAAGGTCTTTTATTGTCATAATTTTAAATACTTTATATAATTTTTTAGAAAATTAGTTGATGATTATTAATATTTGATATTCTTTTATGAGTAATTACTTGATGGTTATAGTCATCAATTTTAGTTTGTATGTGAAAACAAATATCTAATTTGAAAATTACATTAACATACCATTTTTAAAGTAGTTATTGCACTGAATTAATAACACAAAATTGTGGAATTTTCCAAAATAAGATAATATTTTTGTAATTTAAAGTATTGATTTATTTTAGATTATAGAAATAAATACAATTCAGAATTATAATATTTTGTGTAAATCATTACAAAAATAAAGTAAAATGAAAGATGTTCATAATTTTTGGATAAGATCTATTATAATCATGTAGGCAGTAGATGTTATTTGTATATGGCTATTGGTTTCCCATTATAGTTATATATATTTTAATAGAAAAGAACTAAATCTAATTAAATTATATTAATCTTTGTAAAAACTTTAGAAAATTACAACTAAAATCTAGCTATTGATTTTTATTTTTATATTTTTATCTGAATAAAATGAATAAAATTGAAACATATACATATATATTGTGGAGCTATATATTAGTTCACTTTATGAGTTTAGCATTTATGATTAAATATGTACATATGCCAATATGCCAATGTTACTTTCGGTATATAAAAAAACGTGTGAACAAATATTTAGTGAGTAATTTAATCGATTTTCTTTGAAGTTGAATATTATGGAGAACACGCTTTGAAGATCGAAGGAATCATCCATGGCATCAAGTAAATCTGTGACACTTTTGGTTATAAGCCTATTGTATTTGTTGTGGTTTGTTGATATATATATACATATATATTGTATATATTTAGATGCCTAATATATCTCTTGTATATATATAACATTGTACCCTAATTATAATTTGTGAAATTCAGTTTATTCCATTAATTATAACATGGTATCAAAGCCATGACTTTTCCCCGAACAAATCGAAACAATCCGCGCGTCTCAGATCGCACCTTTCCAACCGTTGCCGATTGTCACCGCCACAACCACTGTGTTTGCCGCCACGAGACCGGCCGGAATCCGGAACAGCTCGGCCAACGGCGGCGCGTGAGCCTCACACGCGCCTGACAAAAATTCTGGCCGAACGCTTCGCCGGCGCGTGGATGCGCGTGCGGCGGCCGTTGCCGGCAATTTTTGCAATGTTGTGTTCGGAATTTAATTTCCTCTACGATGGTATACTCATATTTTCCGTTTGAGCAGTTTTCTGTATCCGTCTGATTTTCCGTGTTTCGGGTTCGATTCGATTTTGTCTGTGTTTTTGTCGTTTCAGCTTTCGGCTTGAGATATTGTCTACACTTGAAATTTTCTTTATGGAAAAGATGGATGTTCATATTCCGATAAGTGTTGTCATGTCTGGAGATAATTACAGTTTGTGGGCACAATCGATGAAAAGCTTCCTGATAAGAAGGAAATTATGGCGGATTGTTACAGTGGATATAGTTGCTCCAATTGCTCCGGTTTCTATAGGAGAAGTTTCGCATACCACCAAACTTGTTGAATCTTATATTGAAAAATAGGAGTATTGGGACAGTAAGAACCATATGATTCTTACTTGGTTGCGCAACATTTCCACTCCGGCAATACATGTGCAGCTTGCCCAATTTGAAACTGCCAAGGCAGCGTGGGATTTCTTGGCAGTCCGCTTCCGTGCTACTGGTTTGGCGCACTATTATCAGTTATGGAATACTCTCCATGATCTAAAACAGGAACCAAGACAATCTGTCAACGACTTCCTTGCACAAGTGCAACCCCTTTGGCATCGGTTGGATCAAGTTGAGATCAGTCCTGATCATCTTTGCCTCATTCAGGTCTTGATGGCTTTACGTCTAGAGTATGAGGCAGTTCGTGCATCTTTGTTATATCGTGCATCTTTGTTACATCGGCATCCACTTCCTACCTTGGATGCAGCTATTCGGGAGATTCTTTTTTAGGAAACTCGTCTCCACCTAGCCAAGGCTCCTCTGCTTGATTATGCTTTTGCGGTCACCGCCTGAACTCCTGCTCAAAGTTGTCCCCTCTGCTGCAAACAATGTCAGTCTTCTGATCATGACTTCGGTCACTGCCCCAAGGTGGAGTGCACTACTGTCATGTTTTAGGTCATAATATACAATATTGCCCTACTAGGCCGTCTCGCTCTGGCAGCAGTAACTCCAAGCCTCGGCATGTTCGTGGACCTCCTCAGTCTAGTACCTCATTTGTCACAGCCTTTGCCACGTCTGCGCCTACGCCTCCCACGATTCAAGACTTAGAGGCTCTTCTTGAATAGGTTCTGTCTTCCAATACAGCCATGTCTACCACATCAAGTAACTCTCCTTGGTATTTTGATTCTGCATGCAATAATCATATGACCTCTAATATACGTCTTATGACCTCTACATCCACCGCACCAGCCCTACCCCTTATCCTTACCGCAAATGGTACCCATATGCGCATGGCCTATACTGGACATACAACCACCTCGTCCTTATCCCTCCCCGACACATATTTTATTCCCCAATTAACCTTAAATCTGATTTCAGTTGGTCAATTAGTTGATTAAGGTCTCACAGTGATCTTCTCTTCTACTCGTGTGCAGGTTCAGGATGCGCAAACCTGGCGGACCCTCGGGAAGGGCCGGAAGACATCCTGCTTATTTGAACTTGAGTCACTTCAGCTCCCTCGTCCCTCTATCTTGGCTGCCACCACCTCTACAACATCCTGCTTTCAGTGGCATTATTATCTTAGTCATGCGTCCTCCAATAAACTCAGGTCTTTGGTTAGTC